GATGCATAGTTGTTCTATCAAAAACTCTTCTTCCTTATTTCTCCCAGGGCTGGCATGGCGCTCAAGGATGGTGATCCCAACTGTGAGATGAGCATGCCTGATGACGATCAGCACACCTTGCGATTCCTCCGGGTGGGAAGGGGGGATGTGGGGGAAATAACCTGCGAGGTGAGCAACCAGCATGGATATGACCATGGCTTCGTCAGCATGGAGCTGGCAGGTATGGGAAATCATCCCACTTCACTCCATCTGAAGACTGTCCCATGTCTTTCTTTATCAAGTTATTAGGAGATGGCCGTTTTTCAAAATATTCTGTAATGCATAAGTATTACAATGCACACCCTACAAACTCATGTCACAAATACTGAGAGATTCCTGATTCAGTTGGTTAATAAAGCCCTGAACTTTCTCACGTTGCAGGATAATACTCCCCACGGAAGGGTGTGAGAACTTTTCTGGCAAACTTTGTTGGAAGATATATTTTTTTTGCTTAATCAAAGAGCTGAGTTCACTTCTCTCTGCTCCAACTGAGTATGCGTTTTCTGTTTCCAGAGGCACCACGTTTTGAATCAATCATGGAAGATATTGAAGTTGGAATAGGTGAAACACCACAGTTTGCAGTGGTGGTAGAGGGCAAACCGCTTCCAGATATCATGTGGTACAAGGTGAGTACGTGTCTAATTTTGAGGAGATTTTGGGGTTAAGAATACCTGCAGAATGTTCTCAGATTTTAAGAAGTTCTTAATGGTGCTTCTCGATATTAACTAGTGGGGTCTGTTTCCTACTAGATTTTCTTGGATTAGCACAGTTTAGATCAGTGTTTCTCAACCTTGACAATTTTAAGGCATGTGGACGTCAACTCCCAGAATTCCACAGCCAGCATTGCTGGCTGTGGAATTCTGGGAGTTGAAGTCCACATGGCTTAAAATTGTCAAGGTTGAGAAACACTGGTTTAGATGTTGACAGCCAGGCTGAGAAGTTTCATTACATATCAAAACACCAACACAGAGGAAATGTTATTTGGTTGATTTCTAATACCCTTCTCCCCTGAAATGGGAATAATGAAACATTAACCAAAAGATCCAGATCTTTCAAGGGAGAAAAGAATGGAGCAAAAGTTGAGAAAGCCTGTAGACAGTGGGATTCAAGGAACCCATTCCCTGCACCTTCCTAAAGAACAGTGGATGTGTGAGAGCAAAGTAAAACAATGTAAGAGTTCGGTCTTCCAGGCTATTTTTTACAGGTCCTTTGTTCCCCCAAATCTGTCTAGAATGAGGTGCTCCTGACTGAAAGTAACCACCTGAGCTTCGTATATGAGGAAAGTGAATGCTCTTTAGTTGTGCTGAACACAACAGAGCAGGACAGTGGAGTCTACACATGTACTGCACGCAATCTGGCTGGAGAGGTGTCTTGCAAGGCTGAACTCGTGGTTCATGCAGGTATGTGATATCGTACTAGCAGGGATGAGCATCCAAATGTTAGCTTGTTGGAAGCCCTGGACACCAAGAATAGGCAAACAGCTTTGTTTCCTAGTTGCTCCTGGAGCATGGTAGATATCAGGAAAGTCTTGAGATTTTTTGCTGCTCTAATCGGACCCAGTGTTTTTGAGATCAGTTATTGAAACTAGATGCTCAAGACCGGAATTTGGAGGGCAAAAGTTCCAATTATTTTTATTAAGGGCAGAAGATTAGATTAATGTGGAAACACCTAGATATCTTAGTTTTACCTGCAGAGTGACTGACGACAGCTCTCTTGCATATCAGAGGTAATTCTTTCTAGCCTGACTGAGACATCAAATAGTGGGTTTT